CTTTTCACATAAATATTATCTTCCCCAGTTACTCAGGCTCAGGTGAAAACAAACAGAGCTGGGAGAAAACGTTTGATCTCACCATGGCGGAGCCTTCCGGACGCCCTGCTCCCTCCGGGGTGGGGCGGGGGACCAGCAGGACAGCGAGCAGGAGTTCCCGGAGGCTGCGGCCCCCTCATGCCCCTCGGCGGAGGCCGTCCCCAGGCCCTGGAGCCGGCCCGGGTGCTTCTGGATTCACAGGTGCTCTGAGTTAAGGCCCACGCACAGAATCCTCCTGAGCTGCTAATCACCACCCCACACCATCAGCCCTGAGACACTCCGCCCCCCAGGTGTTTCTGGGATGTGGGAAGACAGGTGCCTGGAGAAAACCCATCCTCAGGGCACAAGGCTGCAGTAGGAAGGCACTGGGCTGGCAGGAGCTTGAGCTAAAAGATGAGACTGTGCCTCAGCCGGAGAGACAGGCGGGGAGGTCTTTGGCTGCAAACCGCCTCCCTCCTGAGGGTACAGCTTGCAGAGCTGTGTCTGTGGGCGTGTGGGCGGCCACCAGCTTGTCCCCACCAAGCCCAATGCGTCCGCGGCCGCCCAGTGTCCAGCGAAGTCTTGACACCAGTCTGCACGGACCTGAGGTCACGCGAAGCCCTGGAAGCTGGGCGCTTGGGGAAGGCCGGCCGAAAACTCGGCACCCTTCCTTGCTGTTCCTCCCAGCATGGAGACTGTGTGAGGCCCTGCGGTGACCGTGAGGCCGGGCCCCACGCCCCTGAGGTGAGCTGGAATGACAGTGAGCAGCCAGCGTGGGCTTTCCCGGCTCAGCAGGCCAGGGGCGCCCCAGCCGGCCAGGCACGCCCCGGCCCGCTATCTGGGGAAGAAGTAGTCTGTGTTGCTGACGTCGTAAGGGCTGTGTGGGCCCCTGGCGTCCGGCCGGCTGTGCCCCGAGGTGTTGTCCGACCCAGGGCTGCTGGGGGACACCGGCGGCGAGATGAGGGGCACGAGTCCTGGGGCGGGCTTCGGCCTCTCGGGGACCAGCTGTCCGAGGGAGCAGGGTGAGTGCGCGCCCGCCCCGCCCTCTTTGGCGGCCTGCAGCCTCCACGTCTTCTTGAACCTTCACAGAGACAGAGAAACCACACAGGTGTTAGTCAGGGCCCCCAAGACACGCGCCAGCGGAAACCGCCACCAGCCGGACGGCCCAGTGGCCGGGCGGTCGGGGCCTCGGCTCAGGAGAGTGAGAACCACGTTCATTCCGTCAGCCGAGCTCTGCCACCAGGAAGGACGTGACACCCCGAAAGGCTGGGGTTTCAAACACATGCCCAAGAGGAGAGAGATTTATCCTTGGTCCACTTTACAGGTGGGGAGGCCGAGGCACACGTAACCGGGAGTGTCCCTTGACAGCGCTCAGAACCTAATTCATCCTATTCCAGAAGCGCCCACAGGTACCCATCAGCCCCAAAGCCATTCAAGCGAGAGAATTCTCTGAGCGGGGGAAGGAAACGGACCTCTCCGTCCACGTCCACACCGAGGCTGGCAGGCGGCTGCCACTCGACAGCAGGAAG